GGTGTCAAGCAGAGGCTGAGTGTAGGGGCATGTGTTGTTTCAGTGCAATAGGAAAAAAAGAAAGTCAAGAACCAGGTGTCTCGGCTCCAAAAGTTAGGCTAAAAGTCTGGCAGAGAGCCACACAATCCTAATTGAAACAGAAATTTAACTTTTAGATTTTGCTTTAGTTTGACAAAAAGTTTGAGATTCAAAGACGTACAGCAAGGAGGTCTGTCCACCTTATCTGGAGCTGTGGAGTCAGAACAAAATTGGCAGGTTCTTCAGCAAAATGGCTGTATGATTGAGATTGCCTCGCCAGAGTTCTGCTCCCAAAATTGCAAACAGGGCTGAAGACTGTTTGTACTCTTTTGGGGCCTTATTTTGAAGAAAGGAATCTTTCAGCTAAGCATATATACATTTTTCTAATTCCTAGAATTATTATTTTACAAGATTCCACAATAAATAGTTAGTTGATTTATAGACAGTTTGAATGCATATACTTTTGTCTTCAGTATGAAATGTACAAAAATAAGTTTGCATCCGTAACTTTTTAAAGTAGGTTACACAGCATTTCTTTTGTTCCTACTATTATTTGGTATTACTTACCCTTCAGTAATAGTTAAAGATGAATCTCTGAGCTCCACTGGTGGCCTCTTTTCTCTTGTGCTGGAATTACTATCATTTGATATGGACTCACTTGATGAAATTTCTTGGTAATAGAAATCTTCTAAATCTAGCACCTTGCCCAGACTGTAAATATACAGAAGTTGTAAATCACCAATTCTGTTTTGCAACATTTTCCCAGCGAAAATAAAGTAATGAATCACAACTTTCATTTTCCTTATCAGCCAATATCTGAGGACTTTTGATATGTTGACGGTGGTAGAAAATTATATAAGCACAAAAATCTGGTCCTGGAGATGTAACTAACGAAAATTCAGATGTTTATAATTTTGAACTAATAATTTACGGTTGAATTTACCAGCAAATATATAATCACATGCCAAGTACTTTGTAGAATCAGCTTTTATATCTGTGCATGCATGAGTTGTGGCTGATTTTGTAAATGTATCAATGTGCACCTGGGTATCTCAAGGCAGTTCTGAGATTTAGAGATCTAACGTTACTGGACAGTTTTCAGCAATGCCATTCTTACTGATAAAAAGAAAAGGAGTACTTGTGGCACCTTAGAGACTAACCAATTTATTTGAGCATAAGCTTTCGTGAGCTACAGCTCACTTCATCGGATGCATACTGTGGAAAGTGTAGAAGATCTTATTATGTACACACAAAGCATGAAAAAATACCTCCTCCCACCCCACTCTCCTGCTGGTAATAGCTTATCTAAAGTGATCACTCTCCTTACAATGTGTATGATAATCAAGTTGGGCCATTTCCAGATTTGTGCTGGAAATGGCCCAACTTGATTATCATACACATTGTAAGGAGAGTGATCACTTTAGATAAGCTATTACCAGCAGGAGAGTGGGGTGGGAGGAGGTATTTTTTCATGCTTTGTGTGTACATAATAAGATCTTCTACACTTTCCACAGTATGCATCCGATGAAGTGAGCTGTAGCTCACGAAAGCTTATGCTCAAATAAATTGGTTAGTCTCTAAGGTGCCACAAGTACTCCTTTTCTTTTTGTGAATACAGACTAACACGGCTGTTACTCTGAAACCTGTCATTCTTACTGATATAATTTAAAATTCTGTTAGTACTTCCATTATAATCACCTGTTTTTAGGGATTTATTCTTTGACCACAAAAATGTACTCTAGGACATGATTTAATAGGCCATGTTCAGCTAGTTCAAGAGATTCAAATTCAAGCTCTAGAATTTAGGGATATCAGTAGATTTGTGACACTCTCTGGAGGACTTTGGGCTTAGAAATGAATGGATTACATTGATCCATAAGTAACAAGAAGATAATCATCTGTATATTTAACTCTTTCAGATCATGGGTGAGAAAGAAGAAAACTGCTAGGGAATTGGATTTTTCAGGCGATCTGCAGTGTGACACAGGGACTTTCTTTCCATGTCCCCTATTTATATATCTTGCTCAAGCTATTTATTTATCTGAAAGTTGTTACCCATTGGAGAGGTTTTGTAACATACAGTATATGAAATGAGTTGCCAACCTCAGTACACATCCTAGTGGCCAGGATCGTGTTATTCAGCACTCTTCTTGCCAGTCTCAGCAGACAGAGAAAGGATTGAACGGACCTAGAGAGTAATTTCTCCAGGTCAAAAGTGTGTCATGTGATTGGGATGATATGGAAAAAATGCACGACTTCTTCCCAGGCTATTCCTATGCTGTGTACAGAGGCCTTTAGTTTCTAGAGCTGTCAGTCCATCCTCTAGCAAGCCCAAGAATTCTCTTTAAATAAGTTAATGTTTAAGAAATGGAAATTTCTTGTAGAGAAGATGAGAAGGGACTACAATATTTTGAAGCAGGCAGGGGCATGCCACCACCTGGATTGGCATGCTGCTGCTGAAACTCTAGGGAGACAGGCATGCCATAAGATGCTGAAACTTACAGCACCTAGCAGAATGGGATGCTGTTACTGAAAGAGGCCTCAGATACTACTGGAATATATATAATAATAACAAATAGTATATATCAGTGTACTGTTGGAGATCGTATATATGAGCACAAGCATTCTTCGCATGCATTGCTTCAGGGTGCCTAAGGAAACACACAATTTGAAAATCACACAGTTTAAAATGACTAGGAAAAAAAATCCTAAGGGTGACTTGAAAGACACTGGGCAGGATTCTTCTCTCATACTAGTGTAAATCAGAAGTAACTCCTTGAATTCAGTAGCAATAGTGGTATAAAACTGGTGTAAGTGAGAAGAAATTCAGGTCCAATGAGTAAATTTCTTGTCCAGACATGAACTGGTCAAATAACTCACCAGAAGAGGAGCTGACTGGGAGAAACCCTATATTTAGAAATTTTCCAAGATACAACTGGCACTACAAGCAGATCTGTGATCTAGAGTTGACAGTGTCATGTGGCGACACAGACATAAATTAAACCAGAAATGCATAATGGGGTCCTTGAGTGAAGAGCTCGAAATACAAAAACTAAACTTACTGCTACCCCAAATGGGTCATCTAACGTGCAGTGTAACTAGTGGCTGAAATATAGCTGAATGCAAGACTGAGCTTAAGCATGTGGTTGCATTTTATTGATTGTAAAGGTGTTTGCAGTTCCTGCATGCTAGCTTGTGGCTCAGTGTGATGCTGCAGGTATGCCCCTCCTTAGTTTCCCCAAGCGGAGCAGCAATAGATTTAACTGCCCAGCCAAGAAGAAACCAACACATATTAACACAATACCATGTCCCCTTTTTAATCAGACTTCAGGACAGGAACCATTGTAACAAACAGTTCATTAGGACTGTAGATCAAGGCTCCCAAGCTGATAGTCCATGCCCAAGTCTGTGAGGCAGGTTAGGCTGGTCTCATAGTGCCTCAGAGAGTAACTACCACCCCACTGCAGCCTGCCTGGCTTCTATTCCCTCTCTCTTTCCCCTGCTCCACTTCCTGTTCCTGTTTATATGGGTCAGCCCCCAGGAGGACAGGGCCTCCTTGATTATCCCTAGGCTGCAAGCTGTAGCCTCCAGCCAAACTCTTAAAGGGGAGTATCCTTTTTTACCCCTTTACCTTTTTACTACATTCTCTCAAATATATATGTCCTGGTTTTAGATATATTCTATATGAAGTTTGCATCCTGCAGCTTCAGCTGCGGATTGGTGTTTCCAATCATGCAGGGTACTGAGTGTCTCATGCAAGGTGTTATGTCCCCTTTTCCCACTGCCTTCAATGGGAGCTGAGGGCATTCAGCATCACACAGCACTGAGCTTTATGAATAGACCACTGCCCGCATGCTATTATATGTCAAGTAAAGGAACAACTAAGGCCAGGTCTGCACTATAGGCTTCTGCTGACATCGGTATTTCAGTCTGGGGTGTGAAGAGATATGATCCCTGAGTCTGACCAGCAGAAGCCCTTAGTGTAGATGCTGTTCTACCAGCAACATTCGAATTTTCGGGTATAGTTTGCTTGCCTTACAGTGGGTGGTTTTACTATACCAGTAAAAAGCACAGCTTTGCTGGTATAGCTGTGTCCACCCTAGGACTGCTTTGCCAGTATAGTTTACCAGTATTCCAATACTGGTGACGTGCTCCTAGTATAGATGTAGCCTAAGAAGTATATTCAGGAGTGGACGGTCACAGGGAAGCAGCACAAAAAGCATAAGTACAGGTCCGTATGTGGGGCAAAGCTGTGGGTTTAATCTTTGCCAGAAGCTATGTGCTGAATATTTGCCAGAACCATAGAGAGATCTGCATAGACACCTCTACCCCGATATAAAGCGACCTGATATAACACGAATTCGGATAAAATGCGGTAAAGCAGCGCTCCGCAGGGGGCGGAGCTGCGCGCTCCAGTGGATCAAAGCAAGTTCACCTATAATGTGATAAGATTTTTTGGCTCCCGAGGACAGCGTTATAGCGGGGTAGAGGTGTATATAGCTCCAAGAAAATATATGCATGTGGATATCCACCAAAATATTTCAATTACACAGTGAGAAAAGCTTTACTATTGAAATGACAGTGGGCATTTTGGTTTTCTTACTTCTTATGACTATATAAATTGTTTCTGTTTGTGGTTTTTATATTTCTAAGTGGTTGTTTCTCAGAAGGGGAGCTCCATCCTTCTTTGGATTTTTGCTAATGAAGTGATTGGTTGCTCACCTGTTTTGAACTGGAATTTTAAGCACCCTCAATTATTTCTTTGATTTAGAACTGTCTTTGTGCTAGACTGTGTCTTCGTTTATTATTATGCTTGTATTGCCATTGCAAAAGACTCACGTACGAGTAAAAACATTTGACCAAATTCTACAATGTATTTTGTTCTTTACAATGGCATAATTTTAACTTGTAAATGGTACTTTCCTGTGTATCATCAAATAACTATATCCTTTTCTTAACTCTTGATTTTACTTTGTTGACAGGGCAGCTAAACACTGTTTCTGGAGCATTATAACAATTACTGTGGGATAAGTAAATACAGAAGAAAAAATTACCTGTTTTTTCTTGGTTTCCGTTTTTCTTCTTGGATTGATTTCTAAGAAAACATCAAGCAATTTTTAAAAATTTGCATCACTTTTTTTAAACACAGGAGCATTTTTACGCAAAGGTCCAATACATGGGCATGTGAAATACGAGACTTTCAGATAATTCTTATGAAGAAAACTACATACTTTTTTTTTGCTTGACAAATTATGTGCTGTAGCAGTTTTTAATAATCTTTGTGCTTGTTTATCTGTATAAGAGATTGCAGCTAGTACTGGTAACTATACTGTGCACAAATAAAAGAAACTGTAATCAGAAGAAGGAGGGGAAAATCAAACTTCCAAATCCTATATCTGCTTTAATAAAATTGACGAACGCTGTCCAATTTAGGCAGACTTTTATATATTCGATGCTAGTTTATATGGGTATTAGCTATTCACTGTGAGGAGGCCCAAACCCATTCTCATGAAATGGGATAAAATACAACATGGTTATACAAAAGGCAGCTCATGCCAGCCCAACCTGACCTCTTTCTATGAGAAAATAATTGATTTTTTTAGACAAAGGAAACGCAGTAGATCTAATCAACCTGGATTTAAGTAAGGCATCTGATACAGTTCCACATGGGAAATTGTTAGTTGAACTGGAGAAGATGGGGTTTAATATGAAAACTGAAAGGTGGATAAGGAACTGGTTAAAGAGGAGACTACAACGGGTCATACGGAAAGGTGAACTCTCAGGCTGGAGGGAGGTTACTAATGGAGTTCCTCAGGGATCGGTCTTGCGGGGACCAATCTTATTTAACATTTTCATTAATGACAGTGGCACATAAAGTCGGAGTGTGCCAGTAAAATTTGCGGATGACAAAAAGTTGGGAGGTATTGCCAATCAGGAAGGGATCCAGAATATCATACAAAAAGATCTGGATGACCTTGAAAACTGGAATAATAGAAATGGGATGAAATTTAATAGTGCAAGTTTATGAATTTAGGGACTAACAATAAGAATTTTTGCTGCAAACTGGGGACATATCTGTTGGAAGGGACAGAGGAGGAGAAAGAGCTGGGTATATTGGTTGATCACAGATGACTATGAGCCGCCAATGTGATGAGGCCATGAAAAAGGCTAATGCAGTCCAAGGTGCATCAGGTGAGGTATTTCAGTAGAGATAAAGAAGTGTTATTACCATTATACAAGGAACTGGTGAAACCTCATCTTGACTGTTGTGTGCAGTTCTGGTCTCCCATGTGTAAGAAAGATGAATTTAAAATGGAACAGATGCAGAGAAGAGCTGCTAGGAGGAAAACCTACATCATGATAGGAGACTCAAGGAGTTTAGCTTGTTTAGCCTAACTAAAAGAAGGCTGAGGGGTAGAGTGACCAGATAGTAACTGTGAAAAAATGGGACAGGGGGTGGGGGTAATAGGCGCCTATATAAGAAAAAGTCCCCAAAAATGGGACTGTCCCTATAAAAACAGGACATCTGGTCACCCTACTGAAGGGAGATATGATTGCTCTCTATAAACACATCAGAGGGATAAATACCAGGGAGGGAGAGGTGTTATTTAAGCTAAGCGCCAAAGTAAACACAAGAACAAAGAGATATAAACTGGCCATCAAGAAGTTTAGGTTTGAAATTAGACAAAGGTTTCTAACAATCAGAGGAGTGAAGTTCTGGAACAGCCTTCCAAGGGAAGCAGTTGGGACAAAAATCCCAAATGACTTCAAGACAGAGTTTGATAAGTTTATGGAGGGAATGGTATGATGAGACTGCCTATAATGGCATGTGGCCCATGTGGCTGCTAGTAGCAAATATCCCCAACATCCAAAGATGGGACACTAGATGGGGAGGGCTCTGAGTTACTACAGAGAATTCTTTCCCAGCCGTTTGGCTGGTGGGTCTTGCCCAGATGATCAGGGTCTAACTGACCACCATATTTGGGGCCAGGAAGGAATTTTGCCCCAGTTCAGATTGGCAGAGACGCTGGGGATTTTTCGCCTTCCTCTGCACCTTGGAGATAGGTCACTTCCAGGTTTTTAACTAGAGTAAATGGTGGATTCTTTGTAACCTGAAGTCTTTAAATCATGATTTGAGAACTTCAGTAAGTCAGCCAGAGGTTATGGGTCTACTAAAGGAGTGGGTGGGTGAGGTTCTGTGGTCTGCAATGTGCAGGAGGTCAGACTAGGTGATCACGATTGTCCCATCAGGCCTTGAAGTCCGAGTCTAAATTCAATGGGAGTTTTGTCACTGGCTTTTCAGAAAAAACTGTACTGGGCCCATATATTATAAGCAGTATACTCTGCTGAAATATGTTACCATTGGGATACATACTCACCAAAGATGCAGAGGAGTGAGAGTTATTTGAGAATGTGAATAATTTCTAATCTATAATAGATTTCTCTCTTTTCAGAGAAAGCAATGCTATGCCGCAGCATTTAGAACAGCATGACTTTTCAAAAGTAATACATTTTAAAGTTTAGAATGGACCTAATTTTGATCTTTCTTATACTGATATAAATCAATAGTAATTCCATGAAATCTAGCGAATTACACTGGTTTAAAACCAGTGTGAAAAGAAAATGAGGATCCTTTCCTAGAAACACCATATTTAGGGTACTGCAACTGATATAGCACAGATCAGTGGTGGGCAACCTGCGGCCCACCACGGTAATCCGCTAGCGGACCGTGAGACAGTTTGTTTACATTGACTGTCCACAGGCACAGCCGCCCGCAGCTCCCAGTGGCCGCGGTTCGCCGTTCCCGGCCAATGGGAGCTGCAGGAAGTGGCGCAGGCTGCAGGGACGTGCTGGCTGCCGCTTCCCGCAGCTCCCATTGGCCGGGAATGGCGACCCACGGCCACTGGGAGCTGCGGGCGGTCGTGCCTGTGCCTGTGAGTCAGAGTAAACAAACTGTCTTGCAGCCCGCCAACAGATTACCTTGACGGGCTGTGTGCGGCCCGTGTGCCGCAGGTTGCCCACCACTGGCATAGATTCTTAAGTTCACAAACAAGTACAGAAAGATAGCTTTCCTTTTAATGTGACAGGATGACTATAAATAAATATAGCTATTGCCCCCTTACTAGCATTGTAAAAATCAATAGGCCGTATTCTGCCTTCATTTACACCTGTGCAACACTCTGCACTTCAGTGGGGTTGCATGGAGATAAGTGAAGGCAGAATGGGGCTTGTTAATTAATACTGAGAACATAGTGTGAGATATGTACCAGTTCGTGTCGTTATCCCCATTTTTGCAGGTGGGGACTGTGAGGCAGAGTGAGTCAGAGCAAAATTTTCAAGGATATCCACCAATATTGTAGGTAGAGCTGGTTGGAAATCATTTTCAATATTTCAATTATTTTTGTCCCAAGTTGAGAGGAAAAGCCGAAATTTCAAAATTTTTACAGAACAAAATGATGGAAGAAAAAGTGTTTGGGTCCGTTGAAAGATTTTATTCTCATATATTCAGAATGTTTCATTTAGATTTCAACCCTTTTTATTTTATATAGAAAACAAGTAAGTATATTCTGAAATGAAAACTTGTTTCAAAACAATACAAACTTTTCATTCCAAACATGTTTAAATGGGACATTTTGACATTTTCTAAATGTTTTTCCCCAATTATTTAAAATTAAATGTCATCAAAATGATTATGTGAAAAAATTTGGTTTAATCAAAATGACATTTTCCAAGATAAACCTCTTTTGATGAAATTTTTCAACCAGCTCTAGTTTTTGCATGCCCAGTTTGAGACACCTAGAGTGTGTCTACACTGCAATTAGACACCTTTGGCTCACCCATGCCAGCTGACTTGGGCTGTTTAATTGTGGTGTAGATGTTCGGGCTCAAACTGCAGCCTGAGCTCTGGGACCTTCCCAGCTTGCAGGGTCCTAGAGCATGGGCTCCATCCCAAGCCCAAAGATCGAGACTGCAATTAAACAACCCCTTAGCCAAAGCCCCAAGTCAGCTGGCATGGGTCGGCTGTGGGTTTTTAATTGCAATGTAGACATACCCCTAGAGACTGATTATCACAGGAGAGAATTTGCAGCTCCCATTGACTTCATCTCGGGTTGTGGCCACCTGGCGCTGCTGTAAATTGCATGTTTAGGTGACTAGTCCAAAAAGAGAGAGAGACACAATAAGTGGACTCTTTTGGAAATTCAGTCTAAGTGATGTAATCAAGGTCAAAGAGTTTTAGAACTAAGGAATTCCTGATTCCTTGTCCTGTTGTCAGATAACTAGACACTCATCTGCATCCCTCAGGTGCTGGGCCTTAAACTTTGCCACTGCATCCAATGTCAGCAAGACAGGCTCACTCACTCTTGAAAAATAAACAGAATTGACTGACAAGAATGTTAATTCATATTTTGAAAGCTACTATTGAAAACTAGGTTCAGAGATGCCCAGTTTTTGCTGATACCAAGTCAGACAAATAACAAATGAGTTTTCATAAAGTACCAAGATTCTGAACCTGTTTGATTTCTGCTTTGTGGATACACTTTGCACCAAGGACACATTTACTTTAAGATGTTAATTTCTTCACATAAAACTCCAAATACAGAATTGTGTGTTATGCTTTACATTTAAAAGTCCTAAACCTCACAAGACTTGTTTTCCAGGAAACAGGTCCTATTCAACAAATGCCCACCTCTATTTCAAAATATGAATGTTTCAGTGATAACTTCTTTTATCCTGCTCCTTTGTAATAATTTCCATTGAGAGGGGGCCAATTGCGACAGCCAGTTTAATCGACTACACTCTTACCTGATGTTAAAATAGACCAGTGAGATACATATGTCACTAGCAAATGTGTTTAATTGCTCTCTTTATAGGAACCTTCTGAACTGCTTTTTTAAATGTCTGTCTTTCTGCTTACCTTTTTCTGTGTTGAATGGCATTAAAGTCAAGAGTGGAAAGCAGACACAGGTATCTGAATTTGGACCAAAGGCTTTACATGGAGACAGTCAAATCCATTAGTTTACTGAGTTGCCTGTCTTATGCAGTTCCTTCAAAATAGTGATCTGACATTTGGTAAAGGGAGCGGTATACTAACACTGCATATTTTAAAATTTGTTCTCCAGGCAAGATCTATAAATAAATTACAGTGATGGCTCTCATTATAAATACCTAGATAGACAGGTCACATAAATACTTCACCCACCTTGTCTGTCTGTCAAGGTAATGTCTTATTACTTCACCCACCCTGTCTCTCTAACATCCTGGGACCAACATGGCTAGAACACTGCATACAACAATAGACAAAAAGAGTAAGTGTGAATCTTGTTTGAAATCTGGCTATGGATTTGAATATTGTAGCCCATCAATTTTTACTGGAAGGGAGTGTCGTCTGCCCATTGTAAAACATTGGCTGGACAAGATAAAT